TGTCACTGACTTCAGAGATGTCCTTAACATCACCACTCATCTAGACCAACTTCTTTTCCTATTGACTTTCTGGGTCCAATTGGTTCAAGATCCAAATATTACCACCCCTTGTTTTAATTTGTCCTTAAATTAAAGGACAAACATTGGAAACCCATTCTATACCATGAGGCCTCCTTGAGCTATGAACTACTGGGTAGACAGATGTAGTTTAGATCAGATAAATAATGTTAGCAATATGTCCCTACTATGCCAACAATGTTTACAATTGAAATATCATGAAAATGGGTTCTGGAAAGCTTGCAAAGTAAATAATCTGTGGTTCAACTGGGTCTTGTCTGCACTTCCCATGAATGAATCTATTGGCGAAATAGATTGGGGGTATCACCTGTGACGCCCGTCCCCGGCTATGTGTTTGTTTGTGGCATAACATGTGATCTGCCTGCACAGGATGGGCACAGCGTTGCCTCGACAGTTTACACGTAGAAGGTTTGTGCTTGTTAGGACATTTTGTAACCCCATTATCCTTACACAAACATATTGAAGGACCCCCTTTCTCTCTTCATTATAAAACTAAAAGGTGTGTGCTAGCAGGATAGGAAGATAATATAGGACAAAGCTTTCTAGGAATGTGAATTCCAAGTGCTGGGTTTATGTCAACAGGGATATGATTTGAAACCTATCCACCACTTGGACAGATAGCTGAAGACACTGTAAAAAGCCTCACAGCACTCCCCTGTCCCCCACAAAGTCTCTGAACTCCCTAGCTCAAGTAGCACTATTAATAGACAATAGAATTACTTTAGATTTCCTCCTAGCCAGACAAGGAGGAGTCTGTGCAGTGACCCATACAACCTACTGCCACTTACATCAACACTTCAAGTGAAGTAGAAACTTGTATAGAAAGAATTTCCAAACAAGCTAAGTGGTTAAAAAGGCACAAGCTACTGATCCCCTCAATGATCTATTTCGTCAGTTTCCTACAGAACTGGGAAATCCCTTTCAAGCTGCCATTCAAGTCCTCTTTATAATCATAGTCTCGATCATACTTTTCTTCTTAATTTTTAAATTATTTATGATTTGTATAATCAACTGCTTTAATCCCATTGTTAAAACCTAACTATGGTGGCTCAGTACATAGAATTTATAGACAAGTTAAAAGTGTAACCTGAAATTTTAGCGCTTTTGTTGCTTGATGAGCTTCAAGGGTTAATGAGTACTTGCCCACCTCCCTCTATTCCTGTCTGGCCTAGAGTGTTCAACTGGCTATAAGTTCCCTTGGCCACAACATGGGACAAAATACAAATTTGGCCATTGATGCTGCCTGCAGCAGATATTGGCCAAAACGGGGAAATGTGGAATAAAAATAAAATCTTAACTCTCCCCCTGATGAATTGAACAGAACCCTCTAGGCCAAGCAGACCCAGAAAACCTTTAAAAATAAGTTTCCCAGCTGTCACAATATAGCTGTGTATGTTGGTCATACCTCGACAGTCCCTTACTCACTAATTGTCACCAAACTGCTTTTCCTAAGAGTGAAACAGAAATCAGCCCTGGAAAAAAAAGAACGGAAGACTCCTCCACGATTTCAACCAACTATCTGACACTGGGGCCAGATTTCCCTCCCTTTTCTTGACTTCAACATGACAGCTAATCAGTTTACAAAGTACTTCTTACTGATAGATGAGCACTGGCCATGCACTGGTTCTGGCCAGTTTATGGAGGCCATGCACAAGGTGTCTTTCTGTCCTATATTTCACCTTTTGACACATAGAGCCTAATTTTATGCATTTTAATGTTAAGTCTCCACCCCAAAGTGAATATGGGGCATATGTAACACATGTTTTCTTAACGTGCATGTATGTAACCTCCTTTATGAATATTCATAGCTCCTATTATAACCTGTTAAATAAATATATATTTAGCCAACCCATTTAGTATAAAACTCTGTCCCATGCTTTCTCCAGCAAGGTGCCTGCTTTTGGACCCAGCCAGAGGCTCTGCTTCTGAGCCCGCAGGTTGCAAGCCATGACAAGACATAAAGTTCTCTTTTCCAAATTTATAGATTTTAAGTAGACAGTCACAACAACTGTTTTTCCAATAAAGGAATGAACAAATGGATGAATACTAATGTAACAATACTATGTTTTTCAAAAGTATTATTCTCATTAGCGTTAGTTTTCTTAAAAAATCCATTTTCTCGATGGGATCTGGAAGTTTTATCTTTCTTAGCTTAAGATGTATAAAACTCAGAATGCCAAACCCTTAATGAGTAACAAGAACTATAACTCTTCCTAGGGCCAGGCACCTGTGTGTGTGCCTGGTGCTACTGACTCCCTGCAGGAAAACTTGCACGGGAATTCACTTTGAGTCCAGAGGCTGCTTCCTGAGCCTGGATGCACACTGGGTACCTGAGCCGGGAGTACTGCCTAGGTCTGAATGAGCGGGGAGTGTGTGCAACAGGGCTGTGTGTTGCCAGCCTCAGTGACATAGTCCCAAGCACCCCAGTGTAGCAGAAACCTGAGGACATTGGCCTCTATGACCTGACAGGGCTGTGATGAAGTCTGCCTGCCCTCCTCAACTCCTACTTCATACTATTCTGGTGGTTTGAAACTTTTACTGATATACTGGGTTTATCCCCTGCAATCCTGATAAAGTGTTAGCTAATTTCCAAAACAACCATAACTTTTCTGTAGTGGAACAACCTTGTCTTTTAACTTATAAATACATTTCTTTTTTATTATATATATATTTTTTTAGTTGGCCAATTAATTTGTTTCTATTTTTAGTAGAGACGGGGTCTTGCTCTTGCTCAGGTTGGTTTGGAACTCCTGACCTTGAGTGATCCTCCTGCCTCGGCCTCCCAGGGTACTAGGATTATAGGCGTGAGCCACTGTGCCCAGCTTCATTTCTTTTTTAAAGGTCTACCAATCTGTTTTCATGTGTGCACTCTGTCTTGTAATATCCTTTAAACAAACCAAAATCAATGACAGGCCAATTTATCACATATCTCTTAGTTTTGAAATAGTGTCGTGCCTTCAAAGAAGAAAGTTGGCAGGTAGAACATTGTGGAGGTTGTACCACAGATCACAGTGTGACTTCAAAGGCCATTTGAGCTACCCTATCACACTCCAGATCCCATGCGCATCAGGAGCCAGGGCCAGGGCTAGAATTTGTGGACCTGGACAGCTGAGGGTCTGCCCAGCCTGCCTGTGGTCCCCTGGCTCTACTCTGGCCATCATCCTCTGACCTCCCTACTCAGCAGGACAGAAGTCTGGCCTCTTTGAGGACATGTTTTTCCACCCTCCATCACATTCCCTCTGTGACCACTGTACTTATGGTCACTGTCCTGGTCAATGTGAGGTCCACCTAGCTGACTGGCAGGACATTTCTCGGGGAGGGGTGTTGTGGGGAAAACCTCAGATACACTACCTCCTTGCTAGGACTAGTTCCTGAATTTAGATTCATTATGTCAATAGAAAAGAGCCCAAGCTCTGTAAAATAATTTAAGGAGATTTATTCTGAACCGAATATATGCAACCATGGCCTGGATAGCCACACCCAAGAAGTTTTGAGCAAGTGGTTCACCCATGGTTGATTACAGATGGTTTTATACATTTTATGGAGATAGGAATTATTATTATTATTATTATTTGAGACAGAGTCTAGCTTTGTTGCCCAGGCTAGAGTGAGTGCCATGGCGTCAGCCTAGCTCACAGCAACCTCAAACTCCTGGGCTCAAGCAATCCTTCTGCCTCAGCCTCCTGAGTAGCTGGGACTACAGGCATGTGCCACCATGCCTGACTAATTTTTTCTATATGTTTTTAGTTGGCCAATTAATTTCTTTCTATTTATAGTAGAGACGGGGTCTTGCTCTTGCTCTTGCTCAGGCTGGTTTTGAACTCCTGACCTCGAGCAATCCGCCCGCCTCGGCCTCCCAGAGTGCTAGGTTTATAGGAGTGAGCCACCGCCCCAGCCGAGATGGAATTATTAATACATCTAAAATCATAAATTAATACATGAGAGGCATACCTTGGTTTGGTCTGAAAAGGCAGGACATCTCCAAACAGGGGCATCACAGGTTATAGATTGGTTTAAAGTTTCTTTGATTTGCAATGGGTTAAAGAAATGAAGCTTTGTCTAAAGGCTTGGAATGTTTTAAGTTAAGATGAGGAAGTCCAGGGAGGGGGGGAAATGGGCATTTATTGAAACCTTAAAATCTGTACCCCCATAATATGCCGAAATAAAAACAAAACAAACAAACAAAAAAAGATGAGGAAGTCCATTAATCAGAGACAAGCAGCCAGACGATACCCAGACTCAAGCGATCTGTTAAGAAAAGTAATGACCTGAAGGTGTCATTTAACCTTCCTCTTGCATGGCCTTAGGACTATTTAATGAAAGAGTAACTCCACTGGGAGGGGGCATAACTAGGTGTGTCTGACCTCCCTTCTCCTAATGGCAGGCAACTCAGCTTTAAGGTTCTTCTGGGGCCTCCTTGGCCAAGATGTTCATTCAGTCAGCTGGGGGACTTAAGACTTTATTTTAGTTCATAATAAATTGTGCCCAAATCCTAATTGGCTAATTTACACATCTTAGCCAGATGAGAGAGGGGCTCAGCCCACAAGGGTCCCCAAAAGGAAACAGACCGCATTTTCTTTACTGTGGCCCTTTTCCGGGCGGTGGTTCTCATTCCACTGATACTGTTCCTGTAAGTGAGTGGCTGTCCTGGAGGATAAGCCTCAGAGTAGCCTTCCAATTGCACAAAGTCCTGGTCTTCCAGTGATAGACTCCGAATTAAACTCTCGGGTTGTGGCACCTATGTCCTACCCGGACAGCCCGAGCTCCCCAGAGCCCTCAGGAACGCGGCAGCCAAGAGGCTGAGCCACGCCAGGAGAGAAGTGACAAGAGCTTTGTTGTTTAAGGACCTGCCCTTTCTCCCTAGCGCCCTGCCAGTTCCCTGTCGCCTAGGGGAGGTCTGGATGGGGGCGGGGCCCCTGCGCGGGGCTGGGAAAGCAGGGTGGCCTGACCGCTGCCTTTGACTTCTGTGCGCTCCGACCAGGCAGCCCGAACCCTCGGGCCTGGAGGCAGCAGCGGATCGAACTCGAACTCCTTGCAGCCGAAGGGGCCCAGGGACAGCGACCCATTTGGAGGGGGACGGGTCTCGCGGGGAGCGACGTGCACAGGGCAAGACCGCAGCCAGCCCCGCCTTTCGCCGCCCTGAATCTCATAAGGTCGCAGCCCAGCCCCGCTGAGGCCCGTCCACCGAGTCCACGGCCACCTGCACCATGCCGATGACGCTGGGTTACTGGGACATCCGCGGGGTGAGCGAGCGGCCGCCGGGCGGTGGGGCGGCGGCGCGGGGCCGGGAAGGGCTGAGCAGCGGGGCGCCGGCTCTGGGGGTGGTCGCTCTTCAGGGCGCGCTGGGGCCGCTGCCTGTCCGTCTCACGAGGGCCTGCGCGTGCCCGTGGGGGACGGGGGCGTGTAGGTGTAGGGTGGGGGCCGCCGTGGGGTGCATAAAGTCCGGAATCGGGGTCCCTCCGTGTCTGACCTGGGCCCTGTCTCGCAGCTGGCTCACGCCATCCGCCTGCTCCTGGAATACACAGACTCGAGCTATGAAGAA